TCGTTGCCGCATCCTTGTCAGCTCCAGCTTCAAGCAACAACCGCACAACTTCCAAGTGGCAATTTTGGGCTGCAAAGTGCAACGCCCTTAAACCATTTGTTTTTGCTGCATCTTTGTCAGCTCCAGCCTGACAACTTCCAAGTTGCCCCTAAAGGATGCAATGTGCAAAGCCGTCCAGCTATCTGTATCTTCTGCTGCATCTTTGTCAGCGCCAGCCTCGAGCAACAATCGAACAACTTCCAAGTGGCCATTATCCGCTGCAGTGGACAAAGCCGTCCAACTATCTGTATCTGCTGCATCTTTGTCAGCCCCAGCTTCGAGCAACAATCGCACAACTTCCAAGTGCCCTTCCTTGGCAGCAAGAAGCAAACCTTCCCCGTTCGGGTCCAGTGGCTTTTGAAGCAGCCCTTCAATGTGAGCCACATTATTCTCCTTGCAGCTTGTGAGCAGTTCTTCTTTCATGGTCTCATCAGGGACACAAAAGGGCAGAATTACCAGCTGGACACTTGATAGTGCTCGTAGAGCCAAGTCATCCTCCAATTCGCCCATTTCGTCACTGAAGAGTCTTTGCTGAAACCTTGAGCACCCAACCTGAGCTGAAAGAAGTCGCTTGAGGTCTCGAACAGTTTGTCCACTTTCCACCATATAATGCATCTCATCCTCATCAAGCTGAGCAACCGTGTTGCCAGACACAGCGCTAACCTGCATTGTTGAGGTTTCAACAGCAAGAAGCGTTGGCTTGAGCCATGGTCAAACTCCAGGTGAAAAAAATAACATGCCAAAGATTGAGAACGATTCAAAGGTTCAAACGTGAACGTCTTCAATGGCAATGGCAAACAATGGCAATGTCTTCGAACCTGAACCGGACGCACACGATGCGCAACATCAGCCTGCACGCAGTCAGTCCTCGACCCCATCGGAACCCACCGCACGACTTGCAACGCTCGAGTTGATTCCCGCCCAGGGAGCTCGTTCTTCCGGAAGCAAACAACTCAACAGTTACCCGGTTACCTTAGAACATCTTAGAACATGGGACATGACCCAAACGACCTGCCACCACGCCGTAGAGCTATATTGTTCCACGCTTTCTGCGTTCCTCACGCGCTTGCAGCGCGTCTTTCCATCTCGGGTGGATGTGGAGAGCATCCCCAAACTATCCATGCTTGGATTTGCTGTCCAGGTTGGGGGAATTTTACCTTACCCAGACACTCCATGCAACAAAGACGACCCATTGTCTGACACCCCCACAAGCGATTTCGGCCGTGTCTTTGACACGATGTCCAACCAAAAAAAACAAAAAGAAGACGTGCTCTTGGTCAGCTGTGCCACTTTTTTTTGGTTTGCCAGGGTCAGCGTGAATTGCGCGACATTGTTCACGGCCAGGGAGACCAACTGCGAGTCCAGGAACAAATTCTGCGCAGCTGTACACCTGTCAGCCGTGCCACTTGTACACTGTATGTCGCCCACGTGGTGGCTGCGAAAGAACGAGTTGAAAGCAGACGAACACAAATGTCGGGACCACGAACAATCTACAGAAAACCAGAGAGGTGTCCAAATCGGCTGGAAAGCGAAGAGGTCAGCAATAGAAATCAAGTTTGGCCTACCCCGCAGTTCTCAAGAAATAGCCTTCCGTCACCAAAAAACAATTGAAAGCATGTGTTGAAACTGACAGTTCCATTGGATATGGCTTCTGATACTGCATCTCTACATCCTCCTGTTCATGTTTCTACTGTTCCAACCTCGCCAATACCCGTTTTTCTATCCAGCTGAACCCGCTCGGGCCAGATGCTCCCGCTCCGCCCCGTACCACCCGCTCGCTCGCACGACCCGCTCACCGGTCGGCCGCGAACGGCCTCCGAGTCCGGCCGTTCCCTTTGGTCCCTTCGGTCCCTTCGGTCTGTCCGCCTGGACACGAGATCGAAGTGCACTTCCACGAAGTTCACCTCGGACCGGCCCCGGTGGCCGTGGCGAGTCCGGTCGGGTCCGGACGAGGTCGGACGAGGTCGGGCGTGCCAGAAAGGATCTCGGTGGGGCAAGTGAGGGATGGTCGGGATGGTCGGGATGGTCCTGGAAGAGGAACTGAGGAACAGAGTCTCTGCTTCAAAAGGGGGACGATATGCACAAAGGCCTTAAGTGGATGCTAATTCTGAAGATGACCTTGCACAGGTAGCTCTATCTTTACACATGACTTGCTTTGGGATGGTATCAACAAGGGAATCACCTCTCATCTTGCCCCTCCCATCCTTCCATGTCCGTTCAAACAAGCAGCAAAAGTCAGGACTTCCATGACCACGACAGAGCCCATTGCAGGAGCCATGAGTGGATGGAAGATTCGTGCCACGGTCTTGTCACTCTTCGTCTCATAAGCCTCTGACTCTCAGCTGCAAGCTCCCAGGAGCGATTGGAAAAGACAGAAAATTGGGCAAATCGAGCAAACGTCGAAAAAGGAACCAGAACCCCCCGCAAAGATCCCCAAGTAGAACCTCTTTTTAGCCCAAGAACAAGCCTCTATGCCGTATACATCTGTATAACTATCCGTATATTATAAACCTGTTACAGGGTGCAATGGGGTGCAATGAGGTGCAATGAATGGAGATAATTACGGATCTGCCCAAGTTTTGGGGGTTCCGTTGAAGGTTTGAAAAGGTTTGAAAAGCGCCTTATGCAACGCAACAAGCCAAGCGGAGCCACACACTGGTCGAACGGTCGGACGGTGTCGAATCCGTGCGGTGAAGTGGTGCCACCCTGCCTCATTCCACTTCTTGATCTGGAGCAACCACTTCACATAGAAGTAGACTGATAAGATGCCCCAAATCCGGCTGATCCAGTTCCCAAAGATATTGTAGGGAATCCATCCAAGGAGAGGAGCTTCCAGGACCTGGCAAAGCGCAAAGATCTGGATGGAGATGCCGACCCAGAACTTCAGCAGAACGTCTTGATTTCGAAGTGTCCTCCCCCACGACGCGGGCAGCTGGCCCAAGGGCAGCTTGATACATGCAGGATGGCTCAACTCTGAACTCTGGAAATCACATTGAAAAAAACATAGATTTACATAAGGACGCTACTATAGGGGCTCCTGGCATCGCTACTAGGAGCGATCGGACGCTACTAGGGGCTCCTGGCCTTTCTACTAGGAGCAATGTTTGCTAGAAACAATAAATATTATAATAAGTAAAATTTTGAATTGAAAGAAGATCCCCAAGAAGGGCAGCCTGGCTGCCACGTGTCGTGGCAGCGGTGTTTTGTGCTACTCCATCCAGCAACGCGAGTCGGTCTGACCCGACGAGAAACGAGGGATCAGTTTTTTTTTGTTGGGCTAGCATGAAGCAATCAAAATACCTCGCTAAAAACTGGACAAATGCCAAAAAAGAGCCCAAGGCATCCCAAAACGTTTTGGTGGTGTGTCTGATTCCTCAAACCTCCTCAATCCTGGGTCTTTTTCAATGGGGAAAAACATGGAACCACCCAGTGAACCGCCTCACACACACCACGGATGAACAACTCGCTGTCCTTAAGCGCTCGATGCCCGTGATGAGGATCAAGGCGCTCAGCACCACGTTGAAGACCACCTCCGCATGACTGGCTTCCTTCACGCCCTGAGCCATTCGCACCTCGGTTCGAGCGCGTGCGGTGCCGCCCGCGTCGCCCGCGTCGAATTGAAGCCTTGTCTTCTCTCAGATCTGGACAGCTGATTTCACCAACTCGACAGTCGCCGCAAGATGTGAGGCGTTATGGGCGGGTTCATCCGTCCCACTCTATTCCAGCTCTGACGTCAAGACCTACGACTTCTGAAACGGAACAAGATACGAACATGAATCGTATCCCATTCCCCAAGAATCCCATGCGGATGGACATCTTTGACCACCCCATTGACCCTTATAAAAACAACTTCAAACCACACAAACACAATGAACAACATACAAACCCGCCCCTTCATGTCTGAGTCACCTGGCTGGAAGCCCCAGCCCACCACTAAGGGACCTCCATTGGAGACCCCTTGAAGGTCCAGGTATATATGTATATGTATTGCCCAAACGCTCCTGGACCCTCATATGCAGGGGTTGGACCCTCATATGCAGGGGTCTGGACCCTCAAAACCCTGTTTTGAGGGACCCTATCGGGCTGTGAACGGAGCGTCTGGGTGAAGAACACGGGCGCACCAAGATCTCGCGAGGCGGTGCGGTCAAGGCACCGTGGTCCAAATGCTGCCACCCAGGACTGAGAGCATGCCACTGACACCATGAATGGAGAATAAATACCTGGAGCAAACAGAGGAAGAACACTGTATAGGGAACCCAGGCCAGAATCTTGCTTGTTCAAATTCGTTGATCTGAAAGATGAGGTCATGGAACGGAATCAAAGCTTTGGCATGCTCGGCCAAGTTAATCTATTAGCTCTTGGCATGCTTTTGGCAGTGGCAATCGCAAGATCTTTTCTTTTCACCATATTTATACTTACATTGCATATAGGGCAACCAAAAGGAAGACTCACCCAACAGTCGCGAAAACGGCTTCCTTCGCTCCTTACGCCTTCGCTGTTCACTCTCGGGCAAGATGCTTCATCCACTGCTTCACTGTCATCTGACGTCTGGGAGCCTCCCTCACCTCGCCCAGGTCCCCTGGCGCCGGTCGACGGTGCCACGCCGGTGCCACAAGCCAGCGAAGATGATCGTTAAGATGTCTTTTTTTGGGCCGGATCCACCAGTAGGAGGCAAAAAAGGTAACAAGATGTCACAAGTAACTGGACTTCCAGGTATCCTTGTGCCTGGTCTGTGTGGTCTAACAAACGGCCTGCGCACTTGGAGATCCGCGCGCTTTGTCCCAGACTCCTGCTAGATGGTCCAGGTTTGGACCAATGAGGACCTTGGATACGAATGCAAACCGAAACAATGAGGGGCCATGCAACAATCATCCAAAAATCTCGGCTGCAAGTAAAAAGTTAAATTTCTCCTGTTGCAAGTATATAGAGGTCACAAGTTGTATCCAAAAATTGACTTGACACAGTCAAAGAAAGTAGAGGACGTGATCATCATGCTCAATTGGATACATCTTGATGTTGGGCTCACCAGTCAATTGCTGAAGGGCAATGTTCGACGGGTCAACCCAGTGTCCGGGACGAAACAGTGGACGGTTACGTTTGAGCCCTGCGCTCTCACTATTTCAATTGATATATGTGGCCAATGGCATGGCCCACGAGCAAAGACTTCCAAGAATCTATACAATAGAATCTTATACTTTAATAAACTAAATTACTACTAGCTTCTTGTTACTACTAGTAAGGCACTTGTTACGAACGTAGCGATGCACTTGTTCCTACTAGCAAAGGAATCTTATACCAGGAGTCACATAGAGTTGAACTGGTTTGGGGGTCGGAACCATCGATGTGACTGGGTCACCCCCCCCGACTTGCTCCGTTCCTTCAGCCCCGAGGCAGCTTGCTGCGAAGGTCCAATTGCCAGGCCTGGCGCGCGCGCGGCCCGCGGGTGCGCTGCACTAAACGGATCCATGCGATCCAGGGGTCTCACTCGCGATAGTGGCTGAAACTGCATGCCGCTAAAGGACTGTGCCTGCAAACCCAGAGTAAAGAGCTTGCAAGCAGAACTCTTGCAATGCAGCGCCATCGGACTGCAACACCTGCGGAAGTGGCAAGCTTTCCACATCAAAAAAACGATCTAACATACCTTGGATTCACTGGAAGTGCCACGTTTCTTGGCAATCCCTTCCCCATTTCTCTCCATCACACGGCTGAGACCGCTGCATGGGGTCATGGCAAGAATCGCCCCCCCGCGCGCCAGTTTAGGACCGCATCGCGCTGGCTTGAGCCGCCGAGGCTTCCAGACAGCGGGAAACACGTCTCACGGAGTCTCACGGACTTCGGTGTTTTGTACGGATCAAATTGGTTCAAATAGGCACATGATGGCACATGTCATGGTCTATGCCCAGACCATCTATGGGACTGGAATAGTTATTACCTGTACTTGGGGGTCATACATGGGTCAATGTGTAACTATTCCAAAATAATGGATGGTCTGGGATAGATTCAGCAGTAGGCCGGGATTATCATCGACTTTGAACAGGAACTTCGTGGAACTTCTATTCACCCCAAACCAGCAGGGCCTTTGACCATCCCCACATGAGGAGTCGTGACCACCATATGAATCTGCGATCTCCGCCTTCCAGTTTCCCACTGCGCTCTCTTTGCACACACGGTCAACCCCTGCGCTCGTGGCTCGCTTTAGTTTCCACCTGAGGCCGCAGAAGGAACCGCAAATCGTCTGCATCTCGTGATCCACCATTGACTCAAAAGCAATGAATCACATCACACATGGAACACCATGAAATAGAACCCTGGAACATCCGCTCAACATCGAAAAACCGATGACAATGCAATTCCGACGAGGGGAAGAGATCCGCAGCTGTGAACCTGGAATAGCGGAATGAACGTTTCCGGGAAGAGATCTGGCCAGGCCACCAGGTCTGACAGGTGAAAAAAAACCAGATCTGCACCCATTCAGCATTCGCGACCACCGGTGATCGCTCGTTGCAGATGACTTCGGTCCAATTCCACCGTTCGCGACCGGCCCCGTTTGACTGAGGTCCCGGTCGTTTGGCTCGGCCTTTCGCTTTGCCCTTCCGACCTGTTAAGGCCCCACAAGGACTCAGAATGGTGACAGAGTGTCAGCAGCAAAGTGTTGAACTGGAAGTTCTATCGAGTCCAAAGTATTTTTTTACATAATTCCAGCCTATATAGATTGCAACTAGCTTCGGGTTGGAGTATATTGGTGTGTGTCCTCCGAACTTTTGAGGCCCGAGCCTGGTTTGGCTCGATCCTCCCGAGGGCTCCAGTTGCCTTGAACATCTGAAAGCAGCTCCGCCTGGTGTGCTGAGACCGCAATCTGGGTGACTTGAAGAGGAACCATAGATGGAAATGGTGGACAACCTCGGACATTGTGGAAATCCACCAAGTACCCAGACGCTCCTGGACCCTCAGATGCAGGGGTTGGACCCTCATATGGAGTGGTCTGTTCTGGGTAGTTGCAGTAAATAGATTCTTAAAAACACAACCAAAATCTTGGCCTTGGCCGCCTCTAAGCAAGGGATGAGTTTCCATGTGTCATCATATGGGTTTCGTGGCCAACCGGCCGAAATCATCTCCGACATCTCGTCTCCGAAATCTCGCACCCCAGCAGCTGGAATCCCTCGCTCCTCATCCCGTTGAACAAACAGAAGTTTGGAAACTCTCAACAAATAAAAGGACCGGATAGCCCCACATGATAAGTTTTACAAATTTGAATTGTATATGAACATCATATGGGAGACGGAGTAGTGAGATGAAAAGTCAAGAACGAAGTGTGAGGAGAGAAGGTATATGAGGCGGTTGTGCTAAGACGTGTAGTATAAGTGATGATGTGATGGACGAGGATGAGAAGGAGGGGAGGGAGGAGGTGTGTGTGTGTGTGGTAAGATGGCGTGCCTGTGTGTGTGGGTGTGTGATAAAGTGTCTGATGATGTGATGAACAAGGATGAGAGGGGCGAGAGAGAGAGAGAGAGAGAGAGAGAGAGATAGAAGGAGGCGGAGAGAGAAGTTTGGAGGCTCTGGATTTTGCGATCAGATCCGCATGAGACCTTCAAAACGTAACACGCTCGAAACGACCATCAAAGCTATCAAGTGGTCTTATCCCGACCACGGCGGGCAGTGCTAGCAGGATGTAAAGTGGAGTGAGTGAGTGGAGTGAGTGAGTGAGTGAGTGAGTGAGTGAGTGAGTGAGTGAGTGAGTGAGTGAGTGAGTGAGTGAGTGAGTGAGTGAGTGAGTGAGTGAGTGGAGTGAGTGAGTGAGTGAGTGAGTGAGTGCGTCAGTGAGTGAGTGAATGAGTGAGTGAGTGGGTGAATGAGTGAGTGAGTGAGTGAGTGCGTGAGTGAGTGAGTGAGTGAGTGAGTGAGTGTGTCGGCCACGCCTGTGTTCTCACAAACTACTTCTATGCAGCATTTACAAGGCGATTCGCATGCCGCGCAAACACTGGTCCTGCAAATCACATTGGCACCAGTGCACAGACACACTTCGCAAACATCCTTCTCGCAGCATTTACAATGCGACTCCACACCGGCAAGAACCAATACTATGGAAATCACAATGGCAGTCACGCACAGAACCGCCGGGGGCCCAGCGGCGACCACGCGCGCCGGAGGCCCTTCTGCAGTCTCTGGACACTGCGGAGACAGCCGGCCCAGCGGCGACCACGCGCGCCGCAGTCTCTGGACACTGCGGAGAGAGCCGGCCCAGCGGCGACCACGCGCGCCGCAGGCCCTTCTGCAGTCTCTGGACACTGCGGAGAGAGCCGGCCCAGCGGCGACCACGCGCGCCGCAGGCCCTTCTGCAGTCTCTGGACACTGCGGCCTTCTGCGCCGCAGGCCCTGCTGCAGTCTCTGGACACTGCGGAGAGAGCCGG